AGAGAGACAGGGAGACAGAGAGACAGGGAGTCAGAGACAGGGAGAGAGACAGAGACAGGGAGAGAGACAGAGACAGGGAGACAGGGAGGAGACAGTCTGAGCAGACTGAAAGCAGCCTGGAGGCTTTCTGCAGTGAGCAAATCTCCCACCCCTCCTGACCCGGGAACCTCACCCACTCCCACGCAGACAGCAGAGGAGAGAGGGCCCCACAGTGTACGGACAAGCCAGGGCAACACCAGGAGGGAGGGCGCCCAGACTGCAGCACAAAGCCCAGTGATGAAAGAAATGGCCCGAGTCACCCGGGAAAGGCTCAATTATGCTGGTGTCGGCTGCTTAGGAAAGCCAGAGGCGCAGTCAAGGGTCTTTAAAAGGTCCCTTCAGGGCCAGTGGAAACCAGGCCCGGCCACTGCTCTGTGAACAAGCAGCTGGGGAAGGATGAGGGAGATGTTTTCAGCTACAAGACAGAAAGAGCCCAGGCAGAGGCGGGGTCCTGAGCCCTTAGGCAAGTTAGGAACCAGTGGAGTTGTCGGATCTGTGAAGTAGGGACGCAGATCCGGAACCTTCCAGCTCCCAAATCCTCTGAGTCCACCAAGTGAAGCTTTCGGCTATTGGGTTACAGGCCACGCTCTGGGATCTCACTTTCCCAGAACACGGCACTTTCCACGGTGCTGGGCGAGCCAGGCCTTTGAAATATTGAGATTGCAAGTCCAGAGAAATGGAGATGTCTGTTCCACTCCTTTCTTCTATCACCAAACTCGGGAATGAGAGACAGTGATACGCTACCCTTCCTAGAAGACAACGATCATTATAAGCCCCACTCCCCAGCCTCCCGTACTCTACCCCAGACACACCAGCGGCCTCCGCTTTTCCCTCTAGCTGAGCTCCTTGCAGCCTCGGGAAGGTGCCCTCCACCCTCCATGACCATGACGAGGTCAGGCCCCACCAGCCACTGTCGGAGCAGCAAGACCTTTCCTTTCTGACTCATCCTAAATCATTTCTATATACACGTGGGATTCCAGTAAAAAAAAAAAAAAACAGAGTGTCCGCTCCATGCAGTGAAGGCCCCACCTGCCTGTGTCTCTGCTGATCGGCCCCAGTGCCTGCTCAGGTGGGGGGACAGACACCAAGTGGCTATCGAATGAATGAAAGGGAGAAAAGTAAAATCCAAAGCCAGCAACAAAGAGAGCCTTTGATACTTTTATAGTTAGAGAAACACCTACTTCTAATCTTCATGACTCTTCGTCTTCCTGCCTTAACATTTAATGATTCCTACAAAGAGGATTGATTATTATAAGAAGGAATCGCTTTTTAAGGAATTAAAAGATTATAAAATTGTCAAGTTGTAAGTGCTGGCTCGTTGCGCTTAACATCCACATGACCTGAAAAAAGCCAGATTTTAGTCATCTGGAAAAGCTCAAATTGGATCCAAACTCACACGGAACCCGAGGAAAAATATCCTCAATAGATAAAAGATTTAAATATAAAAAATTAAACTCATAAGAGTACAAAAAAAAATAATGGGGAAATTATTTTACACTCTTGCAGTGTGATCAGGCCTTTTAACTAGGACACAATATCCAAAAGCCACAAAAAAGGCCAGATGCAGTGGCTCATGCCTGTACTCCCTGCACTTTGGGAGGCTGAGGCGGCTGGATCACCTGAGTCAGGAGTCCAAGACCAGCCCAGCCAATGTAGTGAAATCCCATCTCTACTAAAAATACAAAAATTAGCCGGGCATGGTGATGGGTTCCTGTAATTCCAGCTACTTGGGAGGCTGAGGCAGGAGAATTGCCTGAGCCCTGGAGGCAGAGGTTGCAGTGAGCCAAGATCACACCACTGCACTCCAGCTGGGGCAACAGAACGAGACTCCATCTCAAAAAAATTAATTTAAAAAAATGCCACAAAATAAAATACTGCTAAAATCTGCCACATAAAAATAAACATACACGGCAGAAACACACACACAAACTTCATAAACAAAATCAAATGGCCCATGACAAACCAGGAAAAGATTTCAACTCACTTTGTGGATGAAAAGCTAATCTCCCCATTATATCAAAAGCCCCTGGAAATGGATTTGAAATAAAAAGCAGCAATAGCCACGACCCAACAGATAAGCAAACCAAGTTCAAAGAAAAGCAAATACACATTTTTCACATATGGAAAAAAAAAGAAGGCCAGCCTCACTCATACTAAGAGAAATGCAAATTAAAACTACACAAATACCACTCTTCATCTTAAAAATATGCAAAAATCCAAACATGTGATCCGCCCCCTGTTGGTGAGTCTAGGAAAAAGCAGGCACTACTCATTAGGATTGTTGGTGGGGATAAACAGTTTCCAACTCCATGGAGGGGATCAGGCAACAGCTATGAGCAGTATAAATGCCTACGCCCTGGGACCCAGCAATTCCACATCCGGAAATGTACCCTGCAGGTGGACTTGCCCAGGTGCACAATGAAGTATGGTCAGGTTTATTCTTTGCCACGCTGTTTGTAAAGGCAAAAGACTAGAGACACGGTCAGTTTATTTAACAAGCTCATCAGTAAGGGCTTGTTAAATAAATTATGGCACAGCCACACAATGGAATCTGAGAGAATGTTCTAAAATATCAGGCAAGTGCATCATATATCAACATGCAAAAGACATCCAAAATACATTGCTAAGCAGAAAAGATGCAGAAAAATACGGTAGGGTGTTACCATGTGTATATATAAGAAGGAAAAAGGATTTGCAGGTATCCCTTGCTCTCCAAACCCTCAGAACCTGAAGTCAGGAACAGAAGAGACCCCTGTGTGCCTGGTCGCCTTGGTCATGCATGAACATCCTCGGGATGTGTACATGAGAAACGATGTACCCGTACCACCCAGGGCAGTCTGGGAAGGTGGCCAAGGCTGACGGGGGACACAGTGGCCGTGGGCTTCTCCCAGCATAC